ATGGAGTCGGGGTGCCAACGACGCTGTTGCCCCTCCCCCGAGTACTACTCTGCGTACGTACTAAAGACCGCACAGGTCAAGTACGCGTACGCGTGTGTGTATGGGGACGAGGTACGGGGGAGTTATTACGTCGAATAAAAGCCGATAAATTCAATCGAGCTTTTTGTTTGCCGCCTCGACGAGATCCGTGTGCCGTATAGTCGAGTAGTAGACGAGCATGACCTTAGTTTTGTAACAAGCGAAACACGCTTAACGCGCCACGATGGCAATCGAACCCTTGAGTGACATGTAAATAACGCAAGTGTGTACGTGTGACGCGAAGAGGGTCGTTTAATCGATCGGAGTTAAGGGTGGATGTTGATATTGAAAGTATCGTTGCAAGTACGCGAACACCGGCTGTTTACGCTTTCATGGGAAATTTAGCAATTTCATCGTTTTTTCGCCCAGACGGGACGATGACCCGCGACTTAAAAACTAACAATGCCAACTGGTTAATTTTAAAAATTAACCAGCCTAATTTGGAATGTACGATCGATCATGTTGTGTACCTTACTCATACCTAAAGGAACTCGTAAAAGTTAATGTTAACCATGCCAGGTACCTGGTGGTTCGAGAAATTTCAAGATTCGCCGAAAGTTGATTAATTTTCTATTAACACATTTTGCGCCGCGTTTTGCCTTGTCTAACCGCCGACGGTGGTTCTTATAACTGCACTTTAGAAAAATTGTTACAGCTGAGAAAAGTAGCCGACATAATAATTTGAAATTTTTAGCAACGCGTCATGGTACGATTGCGATCAATTATTAACATTTTCTTTCTTCTAACTCTTACTAATAACATTTGTTGCGATCTAGTAATGAAACAAATCAAATGTTTTGAAAGATTGTGACCGAACACTTTGATACAAAAAAATTGAAGACTATTCAGATCAAAAATTATAATAGATGTGCATATATACGTATTTCGCTTTTTTTTTTTTTAATTTTCATTATTTAAAGTCATATTCAACCACCATATTGTATTAGGGAGTAAATCTTGGAACTAAATCTTACAATTCATTATAAAGAATAGACTGTCTTAGAAAGTGTATTAGTTTCAGGACCGATTCTTTATCCTTTAGATTGTCATTCACAGGAAAGAACTTATTTTGACTATTCGCGGTGTATTATCTGCACTGGACAATAATACGTTCCACCGTCAATTGAATCTGGGAGGATGACCCTTGGAGGACCAATTTGAAAGATGTGCAATATTTAATATTTAACCAAAAAGTGTGGCGATAAAAGCAATCACCCTTATGAAGAGATTTATTTAAAAATAAATGGCAACGCCTTTGAGGTTATGTGACAATACGAAGAAGCTGCACTTTCGACGCAAAGTGTGTTGAGAAACACGTATATACAGGGTGATCGATTTAAGCGAGGCTACCTAAATATAATTTTCGAATTGTGATGATGCAAGAAATGTTTTCAAACACAGGTGACCTCGCTTAAATGGACCACCCTGTACAACATCGCACAGTGACGTAATAGTTCCTTACGAAATTACACGAATATCCATCGATATCCAGTTGGAAACGAACGAAAGTTCGACGTAATACGGAAGCAAGCCACCGCGTGTTCCTTAACCGGAATCAATCGAACGAAGGGGGAGGAGGGTGGTAACTCGCAGGGATAGACAGCGTGGAAAGTTCGTATCGCAAGATTCGTCTCAATCCTGCGGAATAATGGCCGCGGGAGAGAACGAGAGGAAAGGACGTTTCTAAACTAACTGCATACAGCAGAAGAGAGAGAACGAGAGAGAGAGAGAGAGAGAGAGAGAGAGTTCGCAGAGGCAGCCAAGCTAGGCTTTCCATCATCAAACCAAGCAACCTGGCTGTTCTACGCTCCGCTCCACTCGGCTCTCGCCGCACAACAGCCGCAGCACCGATGCAGACCATTACACGCGCGACCGGACACGAATAATTGTGCAACACGCTTAACTGATCCCATTCACCCTGATTCTACCCGCTTCCATCCGCTCGTCGGCGACTAACCCCGTCGCACCCCATTGCCGCGGACGATATGTACCCACCGCAACAACCAACGGCTACCACTACCATCATCGTCATTGCTATCATTACCGTTAACGTCGTTGCCGTTCCACCAGACAATCGTCGTCGTCGTCGTCGTCGTCGTCGTCGTCATCGACGAGTCCGATCGAAGATTCCTCCGCAACGACCGACTTAACTCATCTGTTAGTTGTCCAGAGTACCGATTCCATTCCGTGAATTTTCACATCCCGCGAAATTTCTCTCCTCGCTTTCGAAATTGCACGATATCGCACGTATACGAAGGATATGGAGAAGTTTTTAAGATATCTTTATTTTCTTTTTCACGACCCACGAAATGTTATTTAACTCTTGTCAAGGTATGTAGCTTATAATGTACCGACAACATCTCAGTATACATCTTAACATCGTTGATCGCCGAGTGCAAGTTGATCTCGACTTACTCCTTAGACATCCTGTATTTTATGCTTGTTTTATGCTTTCTTCTTTTAGGTTCTCGCCTTTTATTCTTTTTGTTACGTTTAAGATCATGCACGTGCTTCAACGTTAGTTTATCAAATTTTACAATATTTTTTTACGTTTCTCAAGAATCTCCATTTGAAGAATTTACAACGGGATCCCTAAATCTCAGTCAGTTTTACTTAAAGTGTAAATGACTATCGCAGTATTATGTATTTTTATGTAAACAAAGTAGAAGTAAAAAAAAAAAGACTTATTCTCAAAATAATTTAATAATTTACTACATTGCTATTTGATAATTTAATTTGTTTAATTGCAAATGATATACTAGAACTCATTTTTCTACTAAATATTATTACAGTTTCTTCTTGCCTTGAAATTGAAAAGTAAGATGTGAGCGACACGACGATCAACGTGTTGAGAGACACCGAAAAGTGCTAAGAATACTACACCAAACTGAATAACGTTATTAACCGCCAAGCGTAGATAGCGTTGTACGTATCAACGCAATTCCGATGGAATTCTTTCGATTCGTTCCGATAACTACAACCAGACTAGAAAGACTTTCATCGAACAATTGCAACGACCGCGAAGAAGAACGATCAAGAACCGATCAAGATCGTCGCAATCGAGATTCTCTACGTCCGTATAGATACAATATACAGTAGTCCCTCTGTCGTCAACGATTCAACAGACAATCCTATCAGGAACCCCCGGTTCTTCAGCCAGCACTTTGCTACGCGATATATACACCTACGGAAACCAGACTGTGCGATCGTTATAACGATCGCCAGAGTTAAAGAGCCGAAACGCGTTCCTTTCCCGAACACTGTTCGCCTCGGGAAAGAAGCATCGACAGAGGAGGAACGAGTCTCCTCCGTGTAGACGCGCTGATTGATCACCCTGCCCAGCTAGCTGAAAACCAGGCAAAAGGCTCTGTTCTGTTCTCTCAAAGAATCGGCAAAAGCGAGTGGTTCCTTCACGAGCCGATGGATAACGACTCGTACGCGTGCCATCCCCTTCGGTATTCCTGACAGACACACCCGGAAGAAGACTCGTCGAGGGAGAGACGGTCGAGGGAAACGCCGGTTCTTTCCTTTCCTTCGAGAGAAAAGACCTACTCTCTCTCTCTCTCTCTCTCTCTCTCTCTCTTGCTGTCGTCAGGAAGGAAGACACGACCTTCCGACGAGATATTTCTTCGATCGTCGGACGGATCGAACGTGTGCTAAGAACGAGAAGAAATCAAACGGGAGAAGCGGACGTTACCAATTTGTGGGTCGTTGCATTCGAGAGAAATATTTGTTTAGTAGTAATCAATAGTCAAACATACATCCAGCAATGAATTTAATCTTCGGCTGCCGCGATCCTGGAGTGATCCTTTCGCAGACGCGCTTGTTTCTACCAAAGTTACCAATAAATGCCAAATCTTATCTAGTGACTGAAACTTTTTCAACCCCTTCGATACGTCGTTCGCGAGTAAGAAACGTTACAAAATAGTGTATTTTATTTAGATTTTTGAAAATTTTCAAAACTATTTAACCTTTTCGCTTTGGTAGTCCTGCGCACGAGTGTCAATAAATGCAGAATTTTAATACGAATATTTCTTCAATGAATTCTGAAACAATGCCCGATTCCAATTATTAATCATTAATGACAAATTCCAGCTATTAGAATTATTAATTCTAATTAAACTAAAAGTATTTTCGCGCAGTCGAGGGGGTTGAAAGGTTACTCAACGAGTTGGTAGGCACTGTTCTGCAGAGAATTGCGGGGAACATCGATACTCGCAAGGGTGGAAAGGATGTTTGGAAGATGGGCCGAGAATTCTTAGGGAGGAAGGGAGCAAACTAGTCGACTAGCACCGACCAGAGGGTGGACAATACCAAGGCCCGCGTAATGGACCGATTACCCCTCCTAACCGATCGTATTGACGAGACTTTGATTAGGGTCGAGTGGCCAGATCCGACGGGTAAGTACCGAGAGCCCGGCTGCGCACCACCCTGATAAACCGTCCGCTACCATACAAAGCGACTGCGTGTCTAAGCGAATGAGCAGCATCCCGTTCCTGGATTCACCCCCCACGTGATTCGCCAAGCGTTTCGAAACGCGGCTTCTCCTGCCCCCGCGCACTGCGCGCAGTCACTGCGCTTTTCTTCAGCCGCTGGAATTGGCAGCACGGTCGTTTGCTAATTGCGCGTTGGAACGTTGGAGAGTTGGAATGAGAGTGGAATGTCGGCGACGCGATTCCGACGGAATGACTCTTTCTCTGATGGAGTTTCTCTGTCCGAGGGTGGTTTCCCAGTTGTCTGCGAGAGTTTCGAGTTTCGAGAGAGTCGGCCAAAGCAGAATTCGAAGCCTGTTGCCGGCTCATCACTTCAGTGTGTACACACACAAGCGTACGTATCTTTCGTTTTCTCTGGATTTGCGTTAGTACACCTGTGTGTGTGTGTGTGTGTGTGTTTGTGTGTTTTAAACAACGGTGCAGCAGCAGCTAGCTGTGCGTTTCACTTACGCTCGGAATGTTGTCGTTGTTGCAAACACCTTCTTGCAGAAGTCGATCGCGGATCTCCCAAGCGAAGATCGACGGGCATTCCCGCTTGTAATCAGCGATTTTGTTCACCACCGGCGTGGTAGCCACGCGCGGCTTGCTACCGCCGATTGCACGTGGCTTGATCGAACCGGTCTCGTAATACCTGAAAAAAGCAAAGCAGTTTCCTCTCAGTCGTTGACAGAAACTGAAGCTGAAACAGCAGACTTGGCTGTGAAAAACGACGAGAATGTTTCAGCTGTAACAATTGCGGCACTTGTATTTCAATTTTTAACCCTTTGACTACGAAAGGCGTATATACAACGTGTTTATCAATATATGCGAAAAGTTTATACATACGTCCTTCAAAATTTCCTCGCTATAACACACTTACCGTTTCATCAAAGTGATCATTGAAGAATTATATAAAAAAGTATAATATAAAATTTATCGTTTCATGTAACATAGCATCTGTCATGATACTGAATATTTTTATTAATACTGTGTCTCAGTCTTCGTACGTGAATTGTTTATTTATTTATCAATAATTCAATGCTTCATTATAATATTTATTTCAATTTGTGATTAGGTTTTCTATCATTTCATTCGTTCGTGATTTTTCTAAATAATGTAGGGTGAAAATATTTGGCCGAGAAGGAAAGCTATAGAAGACAGCAGTCAAAAGGTTAAGAATTCCTCAGATCTCCTCGGGAGAAATTTTTCAACAGAAATTTTGCTCGAACGAGTTTTCACCCTCGGTGAACAAACGTGACACTGACCTGCCGAGGATCTTGGAAACGCATCCGTTGCTGACTTGCAGTATGCGCGAAATGTCGCAGGGCCTCGCGCCACTGTGGGCCAGTTCGACGATCTTCTGCCTGGTAGAGTCTGGTAATGGTCGGCCGTTGACGTAAACACCGCCAAGCTGGTTAACCCCGCTGTGTCCTGCAGCCGAGCACCCAAATATTGAGTTCTGTCCGACCATAGAACCCCCGCCAATACCCGCACCACCCCCGTGCATCAAGTCCTCCTCTGTGAATCAAAACGCGCGCAACGTGTATTCTGTCACTTAGCCAGAGTGTCTGGTTGGATAAACACCGACCGCCCATATGTGTACCCACGCGTGGTACTCTCGTCGTCCACGTTCTTATTAGTCTGATTGCGCGCCGTCAGTGCTGTACGTGTGTGTGTGTGTGTGTGTGTGTATCGTCATCATCATCGTTATCGTTATCGTTATCGTCGTCGTGGACACACATGGACGGTGACGAACCGTGTGCTACTGATAATTACTATCAGTAGCGGGGCGTCGATGGGATTCGCGACGTAACGCAAATTGCCAACTTCCCGTGGATCGAACGTCAGAAATCGTCGAGTTTCCATCTGTACGATTAAATCCCTTTCGCACGACGAACTACTTTCGTCGTTTTTTTTTTTTTTTTTTTTTTTCGAGTATTTATTCGTGAAAATAACGAATAACTTTCAATAACACACGCTGCTTCAAGTCGGACGCAAATATTTTTTACTGTGACTGAAACTTCGAACGGCGCGGAATATTTAAAAATCTCTCGATGCAGAGAGAAGCCACGGAGACAACAGTGTTTCTTCGGCACAGTTCTTCAGAGACAGTGGAAGTCGAGGTTGCCTGAAAGACGCGCAGCCGAGCTGCAAAAGGTTAATTCTCGTGCATGTACCATTTACCAGGATAACGTACAACGTGCACGCTGTATCGTACATGATCATTACAACGCCAAAGTGGAGGAGGGAACGCCAAATAACAGTAATTTGTTGTAAATCGCGCGACAGTTTCGAGTTCGTCGAAACAAACATTGCGCAAGATAAACGCAAATGCGCGGATCAAAAGTA